TAGCATATTTTTTTGTTTTGATTAGAGCCCTTCAAAATTCAGATGAAAAGATTATGGTCATTTCTTGATGTTGAGTTTTTTATTGAATGAATACTAAAGTAAAAATACTGTAATATAAGATTCATTGTATTATATATATTATATATATTATTGTATTATATGTGTTATATATATACAGCTAGATTGTGCTGTTTTTACCTAGAGGACCTGCAGCTTTTCACTGTGGTACGTCATACACATTATTGGAACTAATATTTATAGCATTAGAATATGTTTGTAAAATGTATTATTTTAAAAATGATGTTGTTAATTCTCTGCGTATACGTGTCTGGTATGTGTGCTCCCTACTTGTAATATTACAGGTAAAACAGAATCAGTTATCATATGCTAGAAACGACCCCTGGATATTAGGCAAAATATCAGCTTTGAGCCTGAGACTACATTCCTTAATTATTTAACCGATGAGAAATAAACATTAAAAATGTAGATTTAATAGGTTGAAATTTACTACTTTTGAAATTAGACAAGTTTATACCCCACAAAAATGGAAGTGGCATTATTTGGAAGAGCTAGTAGTGTCTGGGTTACAATTTATGCCAATACATTGTAGCCGAATATTCTTTCTAGAGAAAAATTCATAACACACATGACAGATTTTTTATCTTGCCCAGATTCATTATAAATATATACATATTTTGCACAATCTTCAGGTTATGTTACTATATTTTCTTAATATGCAGACCGTGTCATATATTGCTTTTAAAATTTGAATACTGGAATATTTTATCCTCCCTTTGCACCAAATGTATCTTCTCCACTTAAACTTGACAGACATGTCACATTTACACTCATGTGCAACAGTTTGAACAAAAAACATTCTTCACAACCGTTGCCATGACATGTCGTGGCTTTGTATAAAATGTCTTTCAGTACAAATTATGTACATTAGTGTGTGCCCAAAGTTACTATTTTGTTTTTGAGTCGGGCCCAGTGCTTAAACAGGACTGTACTATACAGTATACAAATTCCTAAAAGACAAAATATTTCAACATTCTGTTCATCTAACGTTAAACTTAACTGTGTTTTAGAGTTCATTAAATATTCAAATCCATCTGAAGTCGGCTTGTTTTGTTATTTTATTTGCAATCTAGCTTTTTCATAGCGTCATTAAATATACACAATTTCATAATACAACATGTTAAAATACAAGACTAAAATAAAAATAACAAATACACACAGAGGAGGCGGCACGAATTTTTGCGAGGGGCGAGATCTGATCGACCTTACTAGCGGGTCCGGGGCATTCTCACCCTTAAAAAAAATGAAATATAGACCCTCTGAAACGTTATTTCCTGCATTTTTAGGGGCAAATTTAGCTGACACATAGGTTGATTTCGGAAGGTCGACGCCCCCAACATTTTTTTTAGGGGCGACCGCCCTCTCTCTCCCCCGTGCCGCCGCCACTGACACATATTACGTTAACTCAAAATAAAAAAAAATAACATAGTACATTATTAAGCAGTATTGATGATGCAAAAAATACGCAGATGGAAGTATCCCAGTATAGAAGCATCCCTGTATGGACATATTGTGGTATGGAATGAGGTATTCCAGTGTGGAGGTATTCCAGTGTGGAGGTATTCCAGTGTGGAGGTATTCCATTGTGGAGGTATTCCATTGTGGAGGTATTCCATTGTGGAGGTATTCCAGTGTAGAGGTATTCCAGTGTAGAGGTATTCCAGTGTAGAGGTATTCCATTGTGGAGGTATTACAGTGTAGAGGTATTCCTGTGTAGAGGTATTCCAGTGTAGAGGTATTCCAGTGTAGAGGTATAACAGTGTGGAGGTATTACAGTGTAGAGGTATTACAGTGTAGAGGTATTCCAGTGTGGAGGTATTCCAGTGTAGAGGTATTCCAGTGTGGAGGTATTCCATTGTGGAGGTATTACAGTGTAGAGGTATTCCAGTGTAGAGGTATTCCAGTGTGG